GTTATACCATTTTTTAAAAGCCTTACTTGGTAATTCAATGTTTTCTCTTTCTTTTAAAAACTTAGATATAACTTTTAATTTTTCGACCAAAAAAGATATAACTTTTAATTTCACTTGGAAATATATATCAAATGCCATAACGTTTTTTAATATAACGTTCACGGTTCACTCTATAAATATGATTTTGTTATAAAACAACCACCTATATATAGTACAATGGATTTATTCGGTTACAAACTTACAATATATATCAAGTCATCAACTGTTTCTACTTTTCTAGAACCTCTAAACTTAGCACAATGGATAAGATCATAAGAGATTAGCTCGTCACTGTCTTGATATTTTTGGATATTGGCCTTTTTCCACAATTATATGACCTTAAGAGTCTTCTAATCCTCTATATATAATTCCCATGTTCACATTCACCAATTAATCAAAAAAATATTTTATACAAAACACAATATTTATAAACAAAACTACATCAATGGCGAATCAAATGAGGTTTATTCAAACATGGGGAGAAGTAACACCTTCATTATCTCACCGGATTCAACAGAGGCGATTATCGAGGAGCATCTCACAACCAAAGTTGGAAACAATTTTCGAAGAAGGATGCGATAGTTTTGCAGTTAAGGCGCCAAAACGGATTGTGATCTTTCTTCCTCTTTTGCTCTCAACGATTTTGTACTTTGTATTGTACAAGACCATCAAAGGCTATTGATTGATTGATTGATTGCATCCTTAATATGTAAATTGGATGTGTTAAATGACAAAAATCTCTCTCTATGATTTTAGGTGAAAAAAGAGTTATGCTCTGAATGAGCCGGATTTGTGTATTCAAGCCAATGTTTTGAAAAAATTACTAGCCATTTGGCATAAATTTAATAATATCTATTTTTTTTCTTCCGAATTCATTTGTGAAAAAACCAGTCTTGTGTGTTTAAAAACCTATTGAAGCATTTAATTGAGGAAGGGTCTTGAATTCTGCGAGAGAACTCCCCTAAATTCTGCCAAAATCAATCCCCTAAATTGTTCCGCAGAAAGCATTAAACCTAAGTTATTTTTCAATCACATCATCACCACTGTTACTATGAATAGTGATGAGCCATTTGCCTTCTTAGTTTCTATGCTTTATAAGCCTTTCGCATGTAACTGATCTTGCTGTTTTAGTTTATTGAGTACTATTTACTATTGAAACCAAGCATCCAGGTCCTGATATGGAGCGCATCTTCTCAAGTATGAAGATTGATCATCTTATTATGCCTTTGTGAAATCTGGTGCTTGTTTCACTTATACTGATCAAAACCAGTGATTTCAGTTTAGTTATTAGCTGATTTCTGTGCCTTATTAGGTCTGTTGATACCTTGACCTCGTGCATCTACTCTGAGATAAGAACAAATGCCGTTTACTCTCTCATACTGGCTCAACAGAGCACAAGGATGCAATCTGGTTTCATTTTTATTGGAGTTTACATATTCACTCTGTAACAGTTGTAATCCCACCAGAACAATTACAGTAAAAACAAGATAATGAGTTGTATATTGCCAATAATCATTTGGATAGTGTTTGCTCACTAGCATGTTGTAGCTCTACAACTTGTGATGACAAGGTGATTTCTTGGGTAGCGAATTTGTATTTGATCCTGTAAAATGGCCGAGGAGTCAGATGGCTCAAGATTTTCAAACTATTGCACAAAAGTTAAGTGCTTTGAGCTCCCTTGTACGAGTGCCCTCTCTAGACCCCAAATACAAGATTGCTCTTTTACTGTCCAAACAGGTCCATTGGAAAAGTTCCCGTTGATATAACATGTGTGATAAGGTGACCTCGTCACTACTCTTCTCATTGGACTGAATGGATATATTAGGTATGCATGTATATGACTGCTGATTCAGGAATGAATATTTTGTATCAGTAATCATGAAAGAGCTCCAAACACCCATATCATGCGGTTTCTCCAGAGGCATGGCATCTCATATCATTATTTGCCAAAAACCGATCAGAGAACAAAATAGAAGAGGAGATTCTGGAATTGGTTAAGTATACCGATTTTCTAGTTCTTGCTAGATACATGCAGGTATATCAGATTTTTAAGAGTGTTTTGCAGGTTGAGAGAGTTTCTCACCGAGACAACTTGAGGAGCTTTGTTCAGAAATCAGAGGACCTTGAGAAAAAGTGCCTCATGAAAGCTATAAAATCTTACTGTGAACTACGGGTATTGCCTTGTGGGACACGCAAGACTGTCGTATTCTAATACGGCCAACATGTAAATCTCTGACATGTCTCTCACCTGATTCTTCATATGAACCGCTCATACAAGCAAGGTCATATACTCATACATACCATTTCTCTAAGTTTTTTATATTCTTCATAGCTTACACGTCAATGTTTCGGCTATAAGCAGATCAGAACCTGAATCATTGGAAATAAAAAAGTTCAATTTTTGGTTGAGATCCATTATTTTCCCTCTCTTTCCTGTAAGGCCAAGCTGATTTCTCCATAGACGACGCCTTCAAAGAGGAACAGTCGGTTCAGAATCCCCTCAGGTAATTTATATATAGTGAATGATTAGGAAATGCTTACATTTCATCTTCTTGGAGAATGCCCCTCCGACATGTTTGCTTTTGAATTTGATCATTACCTGCAAAATCATAAGTAGCAAAATAACTAATAAGCATGGAATCAAAATCAAACGAAACTGTGTGTGTTGCAGATGCTGATCAAGTCACCTGAGATTTCTTGTTGATATAGACACAGACACGCTTAGTTCGCTGCACTCCTGCAAGTTCAAGCATAAGGAAGAAAAGTAAAGCTCTCTCTCTAATCTCAGTGAACTCTTCAATTGATCAAAGTGTCACAGACAGAAAAGGATTTACCATTTCGGGAGCATTGCATCAGTTCGCCTTCTAATGGAAGATTTGGTTCTTCCAATCTAAACTGGAAGTTTGCAGGCCAGTGAGAGTCAGAGAAGCTTCTCTCGAATTGTGTAATAGCTGCGTTCTTCCTTGCTTCCTTAGGCTGCCTTGCCTTCAGGGCCGCTTCTCCTCTCAAAGCTAGCTCCAGTTTAAACGGAATCAGATCAATATAAAGCCTTGTGAAGGTACAACAAATCCAAGACTAGTTTCAAACAATATAGCCTTACCTGTTGCAGCAGCGGCTGTTAGAGTCATGAGATCACCGGGGCTATGGATATCTACAGAAGACCTAACTGTGGAAGCAACACGTGCACGGTCAGCACCGGGTCGCTCAGCCATCTCGACACAGTGTGAGGCCAACAGTTCAGTGGCTGAAGCTAAAGCCAGAGCCATCTTGGAGCCTGGCCCTTGGCAGTTGCTTGCAGAGGTCACAGAGGCCAAACCTGCAGCCAGGGCCGCAACAGAGACGGCAGAATGCAGGTGGGCGTTCTCAACACGCGCCTTGTCTTTCTTCTTGAGACCGGTGATGGTGCTGCTGCTGTGCTCCTTGTGGTGGTAAAACCATTTGGTTAATGGCCCTGATCGGCGTATGCCAACCGAGTTCATGATCTTCCCTGCCTAAAATCAAAGGATCCAAGAGTTTAAAATGAGCAAGATCAGATTTGGGAACTTGTGAAATGGTCTGATACAAAAGAAACGTCTCTTGACTTTATTGCTGGAACAAAAAAAGGGATAAAAAGTGTGGTACCATGAGTGGATCTGCAGCAGAGCAGCAGGGAAGAGAAGAGGAGGAGAAGTTTTGGTCTGGGTAGGACAAAACTGATCTTGTTGTTGTCTATGTTTGAGTGCAAGTGCTTTGGCGATTTCAGAAGTAGAGAGACTCCAGGATCTGGAGAGAAACTCCATAGGCTCCTTTGGTGTCTGAGACTGAGGAATGGATGAGAAAAGCTCTTCAGCTCTGAGAACACCTTCTTCAAGCTCTTCCTCCACGTTATCTGATCCAAACTGAATAAAACCCATTTTCCATTGTCTTCTCCATCCAAAATGATTCAAAAGATGAGCGTGGGGAGGGGATTGATTATAAGAGTTATGTTCTGATCAAAAACATGTGACCAAAACAGAGAACCAGGTCTGAAATAGAAACTTGGAAACGAACTGTAAATTTGAAATAAAAAATAATGTATAAGAAAAGGGAATCATAACTTTTGGAGATGAAAAGGATGATGTTGACTCAGGTGGAAGAGATGAGGAAGAACGTAAACCAAACTATACATACAATAATAGAAGAGAATCTCTTTTCTTTATATGAGCAAGAATTATTCAAACCAAAAGTACGTGCAGAGTAGCAAAAGCAAGATGTCAAAGATTTGCACGTAGGTCCTTCCAAGGCAATACTATAACACCGTGTGCTTCTTCTGGAGCGACATCATCAGCACCAGGCAGTGCTAGAAAAACGGTGTAACCTCTCCTGGTAAAACCTCCTAGGATAGAGTTGAAGTCTGTTCTTGCATCGTCTTTCGCGATTACCAACAAATTTGGGCTGCTTTGAGGATTGTCTATTGCCCACAAATTTCGAGGATTGTCAATTGACCACAAATTTAAGTCGAACATCATCATACTAATTCTTTCATACTTGTTCCGCTGAACTACATATCAAGGAACACACATATATATGTGTAAGTACTCAGTCAAAAAGAGAAAGAAAGTGTTAAAAGGGTTTAGGGTTTAAGTAAAAGGGAAATCTCACCTTTGCCTAGAAAGCAGAATTTGTCATGGAGATCGTATTGGTCAACCAGACGCTGATATTTATCCCACAAACTGTCTGAAACATAACCCCATATAAACAAATCACCGTCATAACCTTTACGCTTAAGAGAAGCTCCGATATTCAAATAAAACGAGATAAGACTGCTGTATAGTGCAGGGAGTGGGTAATCCTCAACATCCCAGAAGATGCTAGTGATCATCGTATCTGTTTCACAATAATACACACACAGACACAACAAAAATAGACAACAATCAGAACCATTTAAATTTACGTGTCGAGCAAGCAAGAGATAGATAGGTTTACCACTGGAATTTCTGTTCACATAGAAAAGTTTGTGGTCAAAGATACCGGAGGAAGGCTTATCCTCATCGTCTGAGGGAACA